CTGGCTTTTGACACGGTCTTGGTGAAACAACACATTCTTTTCCTTCAAAAGGTGTTGTCACTACGTAGAAGTCGCTGTTGATGGTTTTTCCTTTTTCTAGGTAGCCAATATAAATTATTTCATGCGCATCCCACAATACAGTTGTCCACCCAACTGTTGCGTTTTTCCACGCTGTGGAGCTAGGTGATAATGTGTAGACCACTCGGATGACTGCCGGTTGGGTTTGTTACGGAGTGAAAAGATGGAGAACATGTCTATTATCTTATAATCGGATCAAAAGCTCGGTTTTATTTCGTCGTTGTTTGTGAGATCGCGTTGCACCTACTTTGCATATAGCTTTCTCACACACATATATTCGTGAATGAGAAGATGCACATGTTCATTTGATATGTTCGCTATCTCGAACAATTTCACTTTACGGTCATCTGGTAAAAGGGATAGAAAGCCGAAATAACATCCTTTGGGCAAATAAAATCTGAGTCAATTCCGGTAAGACTCTAACCACCTCTTTGCATGCCCAGCTAACCCCAGTCAACTAACACGCTTCTCCCTATGGTTCGACCCTGTCAAAATAACGCGTTTTTAGGTACTTTTAGATGACCACGAGCAACTGAACCTTACCCCCAAGCGGGGATTAAATAACCCATAGAATAACAATAACCAGTATCCGATAGAATAAAGCAAAACAAAGTGACTTGTTCTTAAAAAATCGTTTCCTCCTCAATAAATTTACATTTTGGACTACTCAATGCTTCTCTGAAAATAATTTTCAATGTAAGAGAGCTATAAGTGTCAAAATAATATCGATTTGAGGTGTTTATTCACTTCAGTTACGATAAAGTTAACTCGAATCCCTAGTATGTATAATATAATGATTTTCATACGTCGTCATGTTAAGCGATTAGAATGTCAATTTAGAATAACAAGAATGCACACCGAATGCTTAATGTCCAGTTATGTTTGACCTCTTGTTAGTTGTTGTCTTGATTTATTATTGCATCGTATTTTATTCATTACTTTTGTGCCATGAAAAGTGAATTAACGATTTCTTTTCCAAAACAAAAAAAATTCCTATAGTCGCAGATGTCTAACGGTACCACTTATATGTACATGTGTATTTTTTAATAAATATTGCAACATTTATATTCTTGAAAATCATCTGCATCTCACCACACAAGTGCAATTAACCGCTTTATTGCAACCACTCGTCCTTCGGACCGTTAAGGTCGTATGGTTGGAATTCGTGTGCTTAATGACCAAAATTATAATAAAAAAATAATGGTTATTTGCACCTGGCAATTTAGTTTTTTAGTTTAAGCGACCTGCAGATATAATTAAAATTTGGAAACTACCACCATAGTTTATTAATTATCATAGGACATTGGCGAGTACCTCGAACGGCGCTGAACATTATTTACATTTTTTTAATCAAGCTCCCTTTCAAGATTTGACGAAGAGAAAAATCTGCTGGGAGATATGCGGAATACGTCGAGTGAGAAACTATTTCGTCGACAATATGCCCTTGTGAAGTACCTCTAGATCTTCCAAAACTGTTTGTTTTCATCAGACCTTCAAAGAAAGCTCCATATAAGCAATGCATCTGCTTTTAAATGTACGAAATTTTGAATTGAAAAAATCTCACTGGTGCAGATTTGTAGTAAATTGAATGTTCTGCAAGAATCCAGTACGAAAATTTAAATGCTCGTGGACACCTTTTAAAATAAACCTAAATATTTTTCCTTCAGATATATTTTTTCGAATATTGGTTCACTTTAAGCCATTAATTCAAAGGCTTAGCTTTCGACTTACTTAAAAGATTAGAAATAATATTTTGGCATTTAATAAAAATAAAAGAAATAAGAGGAAGTGGTTTAGGAAACTCTTTGCTCTCAGCAAGAACCACTTTTTATTGGTKGTAGGAGCTTAAATTGGACACTGTCCGATCGRGCTTAATGCAGTAAGATTGATCGGGTGCTAGCTGTATTAAGTGTATGGAAGTAGATGAGATAGAAACATCTCAGAATTCATTCTCGAATGCTCTGTTTTTGGCAATTCAGACAAAAACATCTTGAATATCATACTTTTAGACATTTAAGGGAAAAAGCGGAAACAAAAATAAAAGGTTAATGACATTTTTGCCAATAGTTGAGATCCAAATATTGAAATTTTTTTTAGCTTCAGAAGGTTCAGTAACTAATAGTCTAAATGTGGCCCTCCGACATGCTCAGGGAACAACCACCTTATCTAATCTAACATAACTTGCAAATGTTAACATGAAACATATTCAGAAGTCGTAACAGATTTTTTGGACAAACTTARTAAAAAGGCTGCGAAACATCGTAGTCAAACCTGTGAAATCCAAAAGTGATTATGAGCACTGTCATCTCAAATTAACTTTAAAAACCACAAAAGCGTGAAAACTTTTGTACTTATATTTGAAAATTTTTGTTAAATCAGATAAACAAATACAATGAGGATTTCGAAAAAGTGCATTGCTCATAGCTCCGCCCATTTGTACTTGAAATTTTTATCTTACATCGCTCAGGTAGTCACTCCGCCGACTCAAAACAAAAGAAAATGTGCACCGGATGCTTAATATCTTAATATACCGCTACATGTGAACTGCTTGCCTCTCGCTGTAAAAAAATTGATTTGATTAACTTTATGGAATCACCAATAACCGAGTCATACAATTGATGAACTATTACAACATCAGAATTCTTGATAATAACCAACCCCTCACTGCAATTACACGGTTCGCAGTAACCGCACATTCTCCTCGCCGTTAAGGTCGCGTGCTTGAGATTCGTGTGGCAGCAATAAGCATTGGCAAGCTTCTGCAACTGGTTTTAGCAACGTAAAAACAAAACAAAAAGAATAAAAAAAGTTATTTGAATGTAGTTTGACGAAAGATAACAAAATGAATGGACTCAGATTGAGGTGTGTGAGCATACTTATTTAATAACATAATGAGCGTGTCTGCGAGTTGTGTTGCCATTACACCTGTCATTACTGAATTTTCGGTAGACAAATGGTCACAGATGTGATGCATCGTTTTCACAGGTTAGCATACGTTTGTGTAAATATGTCTAAGAAAGCTGTGTTCACTTTAAGATATTCAGTCAAAATCTCAACACAAATATTTGTTTTGCATAATCGCTTTGGTAGTGGTAAAAATGCACTTTGTTATATGTACATGTATGAACAGTGGCAAGCAAAGTAATTGCATTTTAATATATTCGACTAGCTCATATTATATTAAAACGTGGTGGGTAGACCTTTCATGGGTTTGGGAGGCTGTTTCTCTAAATGTTTTGTTTTAGTGACCTGCAAGAGGCACATACCGTTGATGTCACGACAGCACTGATGAAGCGGAAGGCACTTTTCACCACCTCACCAGTACTTTTTAGGATGGCGGTCAACTCCTTCAGCGAATTTTATTTTATCTCTTCGATCGACTAAAAACGAATACCATGGAGCAACAATTTCAGTTTGGACAACAAGAAAAAATTCTATGGAGCCAAATCTGGTGAATACGGTGGTTGATCGATGGTATTCATTGTCGTGTTTGGCTTTCGGTCAATTGCATTATCATCGTGTAAATTCCATGAATTGTTCTTCAACAATTCCGGCCGTTTTCGAGGGATGTCCTCGCCCAAACGCCTCTATATGGCCAAAAGAACTCCTTTTTGACAGTTTGTCTCTCTAAAACAAATTCATGATGCAACAAACCACAAATATCGAAAAACAATGAGCATCACTTTAATTTTTGAGTGACTTTGGTGTGGTTTTTTTCGCTTCGGCTCGTTTTTTCCCTCCATCCCGATGATTGTTGTCTCATCGGCCGTTATAATGCTCTCCATAAATGTGGGATCGAAATTTGTTTACGGTACTCTTTTAGAAAAAAATTCAACTTTTTTTGGGATGAGGAAGAATGCTCCAAAATATTCATCAATATTTTAATTATTATTCCATCGCACTCGCGAGAGATTTCGAGCTCTCTTACCATCCCCTTAACACTTGCCTTACGATTTTCAAAAGCCATATCCTTAACCTTTTTTTAATAGTTTCATTAGTTGAAGAGGACGAGTGCCTTCTACGATCTCCTTACCATCTTTGAAGGCCTTGTACCACTCATAGCTTCGAGTTTTTGATAAAACAAATAAACAAAAATAATATAATTTCTTTGTGTCTATATAACAAGTTGCAATGATAACCAAGTAATTTGGGGTAGTTTATTAGACAACTATTTATTTCATGAAGGGATACGTTCGATAGTACTATCGTCACACGATTTGTAGTATTATAAACAGTGTCGAAACAGTCACCGAAAGTTTTTACATAGGTTGCCATATGTTTCGGGATTTTATCGTAAGGTTTGACATATATGATGGAATACATACGCGGAACGTTTTACAAACGATCGTTTACAGTAGCTGAAAATATTATTTTCAACCAAAAAATGGAATTAAATCGTGGATTAACTCATCAAAAATTCTTAGATGCATTTAATTAAATTTATGACCATAAAGCTCCATGAAGAACCAGTGATTATTGATGGTGTGGTAAATTCAATCGAGGTTGCAGATCCCTCCAAAACTATACAGACGGGCGTACAGACAGACGGAAATGGCTAATTTGACTCAGCTCGTCACGCTGATCATTTAAATATTCAAGTATATTTGATGTGATCTCCGACGTTTCCTTCGGTGTGTTACAATTTTCTGGGAAAACTTGATATATCCTGTTCCGGGTATAAAAAAATATAAAAAAATCAGTGCCTAAACAATTTTACATCGCGTTTGTTGTAGTAATTTTTGTCATTACATTCGAGCTAACCACAACACCTGCACTTTTTTACGAATATTAATTATGTTGAGCACATATCAATAAATGCATTTTTGTTGCTTTCTACTGTATGTGCAAAACCACCTTGCATTTTACAAAGATGCATATCTGCAATGGTGCATTCAGTGACATATGCGTTGGAGAACCTTCATGTTAACCTCATCTCGTTGCAATGATTCAGTCGATGGTTTGATCTTTAACGTAATACAGTGCAAAATGGTGTCCGCAAAGTTGGTGAGTGCAGTAGAAAAAGCTGCGTGATGATTTAGAGAAAGAATGCAAAGTATAGTATATTTAAATTAGTTGAGAATTATGCTTTTTAATGTGTTTAATAATTGTAAATCCACTACTAATATAGCGAATATGACTGAACAATTTTTTAAAATAAAAAGTAAAAATGTGAAATAAGAATAAGAAATAAAATTATAATGAGAATTTATCGTTTGGTGATTGAGAAGATAATTAATTTATGTGGAAATGGTGGCAAAATATTACGGGTGCATATAAAATTTGAAATCTAAACGTTGTTTCTATTGTTATATGAGAATTCTGTGACACAGACTCTTTTGCGCTGTAATTTTTTCAAAACAATTTTTACAAATGAGCATATTGAATTTTTATAAAAACTTGTGCGTTATAAGATATCTGTAAACTAAATTAAAATGTGTTTCAAATTAAATAAAAAAGTGTGAATCACTAAAAATTATAAATAAATATGGTCGCATTTTTAAAGCTTTGTTTCTTGAATGCCAGTGCTGGAAGTCGTTCCGAAAACTAATTTGTCGAAAAACTAAGATTGAAAACTACTGACTGTAATTAAAAAAAAAAAACTTTTTTTTTATTTTCTGAGCTATAAACCTATAAGTATTTTTAATCAAAATCGTTCGTGGAAATCTGAAAATGTTTCATTTAAGTGAAAGTTCAAAGAATAAACATGTTACGTCATAAATTCATCTCGAAAATTTTATTGGAAATCAACTTTCGAAACTAGTTGTGCGATAGGATTTTTATACCATTTATTTAATAATTTCTAAGTATGACTTGAAGGCCTAAGGGATATACCCATCGTTTAGAATGCTAATTAAATCAAATAAATTACATCAACAACACGGCGTATGAATAATTATTCGTCTTCATAACTTATTACCTTATCAACGGATTTTATATGCTATGTAATAAAATGGCTATGAAAATATTTTTTCTGATATCCAAAAAATTATACTGACTGTAGCTCTGTTCCCCAGCGGACAGGGTATAGAATTTGAACGCGGTAGAGTATGCCTGTCGAATGTCTGTTATTTGGCTTGCCTCGAGATTTCAACATAGTCTTGTCAAAAATAATGCTATAATACTCAGCTTTAACTGATATTATAGACTTTGAATTAGATTCCTAAACTTAGGTTAGTCTGGTAGGCCAATAAACCACGCATAGACCAGTTTGGTTCTTGGAAATATCAGATGGAGTTCACTGGCCAAGTCCAAAAGGAGTAGTCATTATTTAGGATGCCTGCGCTTGACGCGACTTTAGCTGACTCTGCGGCCTCACTATCAATACATTCTTCAGTGTATCATACTGTGGAAACCCCAGATGCTTACAGCGCAGTCAATGCTAATTCGGGACAAGTGCACAAGATATGCTCCATTGTTTCCCTGGTTATCTGCTCTAGAAATTTCCTGCAGTCTTCTCGATCTGTCAGCTCCAAACTGCTGGCGTGTGTCGCCACCAGACAGTGAGCAACTGGTATTCCCAGAGATTTCTTCTAATGAATAGATGTTTGAAGGTCGAACGACAAATGTCACCAATCATGGAGTTTGATGTGTGTCCAACTGGTAGTAGCAAAAGCTACAAGGTCTGACCGGAGACTGAAATCTGGTACCATGGGGCGCATTTAGCTCTTGGTGCTCGCTCCAATCCTCTTAATGAGTTTGGCCCTTTGGGAAGATTCATGGTGGCTGTGATTTAAACCAAAAAGCACATAGAATTGCAATCCGGTGTCAGACCCATAGCACGACAGAGGTTTTAGGTCGGTCTCGAACCCGACAAAGGTGAAAAAGGTGTCTATTCCACCTGAACAATTGTAACCAAATAATTCTTGCAACGCATTGTTTTGATCTATGTGCTGTATTCACGAAAAACATAACGACTGTTTTCATTGTAAGGTACCTCATCCGGAAAAGAATTTTGAAATTTTGAGTCCAAATATTATATAAAAGATGTTCGAAAATTAAAGTAATAAAGAATGGGTTCTCAAATCCTATGAAATGTTGAAAAGCAACTCTTAAATTTATTTAGAAGAATAAGTTACAAATTCGGCAAACTTAGGGAATATGGTTTCGTTTCGAATCTGGGCAAAAAGTCTTCGTGATCTTGCTAGAAAGTGGAGAGATCTTTCCTAGAGTCTAACATTGATACGCTTCACACCCAAAACATTAATCACAATGATTCAGGTGATTCAGATGAAGAGATGTTGAAGACGTTGAGATGTGAAAATAACGATTGGCACACATTTTTCCTTTAACTTTTTCGATGCTACCGTCATTAACAGAGCAGTCCAAGGACTTCAAAACTTTCACTGCACTTGTGTTCATGATAAAGTAGATTCACCAAATTTTTCGGTATTTCTGTAGCCATGATTTCATTAGAAATAGAGTACTTATGGACCAGTCCCGGTGAAATTTGGAACAATAATGGAATCACTAAAACATTGTTCGAACTCGATGTAAAAGAGCGTGTTTTTGCCACACTAATTTTCAAAAAAGAAAATATATTTCTTAAACTCGAACTTTCATTTGAAATTAAACTTTCTATTACAGTTCTTCGTTGTCTCAGTTCTCGTGACATCATTGCTTTCCGCAAATGCCGGATTGTTGGACTATGTTTACCCCGCAATTATGACCGCGTTCTACAGTCAAGTGCCGACTAAGGAGGGCTATCGATTCAAGTAATTGACTCCTTGACTATTTTAAGACATTAATTAACACTTGTGATCCACGCAGGCAGGAGGACCCAAATGGCAGTTCACGTGAGGAAATTGGCGTCATTATGAATCCAGATACGCCAGATGAGGAATTGGTGATAATGGGCATGTACAAGGTGTATGACGAGAAAACCGATACCGAGACGATTACGATGTATACAGCCGATAAAAATGGTTATCAACCGCGTTTTAAATTGAAAAATCGTAAACTAAGTTCCAAGCTCTTAATGACGTCTACTGGTTAAGCGAAGAAACAGTGAGAAACCTATGTAATTGTTATTGCATGGATATAAATGGAAATTAAAATAGTTACATACGATTAAATATACAACAAATAAGTTAATACTGCTAACTAAGAACAGTTATGAAAATATATTGCTTGATGTGTTCAAAAGGGAACTTATATTTAGTACGACTACAAATGTAAATAAAATAGTATTAAATAAAAGCAAAACCAAAATTTCCCAGCTGTTTCGGTTCAGACGTCATCAAATTTTTGATATTGGTTGTCAAAAAAGTCTTGCGGTATTTTTTAACTTTTTTTTTTATAACGATTTGGTGACACATGCCCAGCTCTTGACCGATGCTACTTCTGCTACTATGCCAGTCCCTTTCACCACTTCAGCGATTTTATCGCA